GATTTTGTGTAGCTTGTCAGTGATCTACGGTTCTGTGTAGTAAATGCCGCTCCATCTGAAAGCACGTGCTGGAGATTTACTACTAATCACCAGAAGTGGCTTTACTGACGAGATTCGCATGAAAATCACATTCGATTTTTTGCCCAGCCCCAAGTATAGGTAACTGTACAAGTTGAAGATGAAGACGGGAGTTAGTGTACTCTGCTGGAATCCAGGTTTAAGATCTGATAAAGCCGTCAGTCAGAGAAGATCAAAAGAGGCTAGAAGAGAGCATTTCTGCAGCATGAGGCTCATGAAGATGGACTCTGGAGTCACCAATGACGATGAGTAGGCCTTCAATCAAGGAGGGGGGGAAAAAGCTGATCTGGAGTCTGAAATTACTCTTGAATTTCATTCAATTCTTGGCACTAATTGAGTATTTGTGCTGTATAATTTATAAAGCTGATGGAGAGCAGAGTGCCGATGTGTCCTCTTATTAAATTCCAGGTCTCAGTCGAGAGTGTGACTACAGCTGTAATGAAATCAGATTTGCAAAAGAGTGAGGGGCAGAAAGACACATGCAAGCATATATTAAGAGTAAAGAAGAGCACGGAGGAAAAAAGGGGAAAAAAAGTGCCTGGTCTGCATGATCAAACAGTACAGCCCTGCACTTTAAACAAAACACATTCCATCAACTATTGATTAATTATACCGCATAAAACAAACATTAAAACCACAGTCTTTTGAACAAGGTTAAAGAGTAACTAACCACAAACCTACAGAAAACATTAGACAAAACAGTGCTTTAGTGGGCTCCCTGTCGCCATGTTTGAGGCACCACATCTATCTGATATCTGACCTCAGTAACAATGAATTTGCACCTGCAGGGGATTGACTTCAGGCACTGTCAACAATTTGAGATGACATTTTAAAAAGGAAAATTTTCTGCACGTGGTGCTATAGCATAACTTATGTCAATACACATTTACTCATCAATTCCTGAGGATGTTGAATATCAGTGATTTAACAAAAATAGCGCTTTATTCAGATTAATTACATACACAGAAATGCTTCACAACCACTGCATTTGGTCTGGTCCACAATTTAAACCATTATAATTCAGCACTGCTCAGAAAAAAATAAATATACAAATTAACCTATACAAGCATTGTGTGGATGAATTTCTGAATGTTACTCACCCATTTCCAGCGACAAGGAAGCACTTGAAAAAGCAATTAACTATTAATCCTCAAACTCACAGATCGTTTGTGAATAAAATAAGAATCAAATTCCTTCAGAACATGCCAACATTGTGTCTTAACTGAAAAGCAGACAACAAAAAAAAACACTAGTGATAAACTAAAGAAACAGTTATGGAAATATACATTCACAATACACACTGAATACTCTCCTCTGAGGCGGTTACTAGAAAACTCACCTGCCTGTAGCTCACCTCCAGTAACTATTAGACCTTGATTAGTATATTCAGGTGTGTTTGATTTGGGTTGGAGCTGAACTCAGCAGGACTGTGGCTCTGCAGGACCGACATTGGCCACCCCTGGGTTAGATGTTTCAGTACCATTAAAATCACATCTATATAGGCAGTGTAAATAATTACAAGAACAAAGTACAAGAGAAAAATAAACAACATTAAAAAAAATACTCACACACAATGATTTCAATCTCCAGTAGGTTATTCACTCTCCAACCTCCATCTTACACTGACAATCCTGTGAAATTTCAGCTTTTATACTCATGGACACAACCATTGACGGGGATGCAAGCAACCAGGAATTACATTCACCAAATAACCAAATCTCAAGATTATAATCTTTTTGTACATGCATTAATCCACAAATTATTATTTAAAAGCCATTTATGCATAGTTCAAGTAATTAAATTTTAAAACCACAAAAATCCATTTTATCATTTGGTTTCTCCCACATCCCATGATGCACCACAGCACAGATATAAAAGTTCATTTCAGGAGATGTTCTGGTTTTTCTAGTGGTTCCAGTAGTGATGGGAGAAACGAAGCTTTTCGAAGCATTGAATCAATTGAACCAATTGCTTCGAAAAATGATTAAATGTTTCGAAGCACTTGAAACAGCACACGCTGGCGACACCTGCTGGTGAAACTGTTGTAAAAGCATCAAGAACTCTTCATCAAACTTACAAAACAAATGGAAATGTTTTTTTAAGAAATAACATATTTAAAAATAAATAATAAACACAAATACTATTAAATATTAGTGCTTGTGTTATGTGTTTTATTTAAGTATAATCAAACCCTTAACACACAATGAACTAAATTAATTATTTAATGAATTAATTGATTTATGTAATTATTTAATTAAGTGTTATCATTAGAGCTGTCTATAAAAACCAGCAGGCAAGAGTAGTGTTATCAGTCAGGAGAAGGAGGTGGATTTAATTCTATCGTAAGCTCATTTTGTTATTTTTAAGGTATGATGTGATTTGTAGGTTGAAAGTACTGAATGTCCTTCAGAACATGCCAACATTGTGTCTTAACTGAAAAGCAGACAACAAAAAAAAACACTAGTGATAAACTAAAGAAACAGTTATGGAAATATACATTCACAATACACACTGAATACTCTCCTCTGAGGCGGTTACTAGAAAACTCACCTGCCTGTAGCTCACCTCCAGTAACTATTAGACCTTGATTAGTATATTCGGGTGTGTTTGATTTGGGTTGGAGCTGAACTCAGCAGGACTGTGGCTCTCCAGGACCGACATTGGCCACCCCTGGGTTAGATGTTTCAGTACCATTAAAATCACATCTATATAGGCAGTGTAAATAATTACAAGAACAAAGTACAAGAGAAAAATAAACAACATTAAAATAAATACTCACACACAATGATTTCAATCTCCAGTAGGTTATTCACTCTCCAACCTCCATCTTACACTGACAATCCTGTGAAATTTCAGCATTTATACTCATGGACACAACCATTGACGGGGATGCAAGCAACCAGGAATTACATTCACCAAATAACCAAATCTCAAGATTATAATCTTTTTGTACATGCATTAATCCACAAATTATTATTTAAAAGCCATTTATGCATAGTTCAAGTAAATAAAATTTTAAAACCACAAAAATCCATTTTATCATTTGGTTTCTCCCACATCCCATGATGCACCACAGCACAGATATAAAAGTTCATTTCAGGAGATGTTCTGGTTTTTCTAGTGGTTCCAGTAGTGATGGGAGAAACGAAGCTTTTCGAAGCATTGAATCAATTGAACCAATTGCTTCGAAAAATGATTCAATGTTTCGAAGCACTTGAAACAGCACACGCTGGCGACACCTGCTGGTGAAACTGTTGTAAAAGCATCAAGAACTCTTCATCAAGCTTACAAAACAAATGGAAATGTTTTTTTAAGAAATAACATTTAAAAATAAATAAACACTTAAATACTATTAAATATTAGTGCTTGTGTTATGGGTTTTATTTAAGTATAATCAAACCCTTAACACACAATGAACTAAATTAATTATTTAATTAATTAATTGATTTATGTAATTTTTTAATTAATTAAGTGTTTTCATTAGAGCTGTCTATAAAAACCAGCAGGCAAGAGTAGTGTTTATCAGTCAGGAGAAGGAGGTGGATTTAATTCTATCGTAAGCTCATTTTGTTATTTTTAAGGTATGTGATTTGTTGGTTGAAAGCAGGGGCGTAGCCATCATTTCAGAAGTGAGGGGGACAGAAATGTTTTAAAATAATTAGATTTTAAAAAATGAATGAATGAATGAAATGTGCTTCATGTGATAATTTAGATTTTTTTTTTTTTTACAAAATGTTATATTAATAAACTGATCTGATAACAAGGCTACAAAACTCCTTACAACATCAGGTTACCACTTTTTACAGTGTACTCTGAAATTATTATATAATTTATATATATTATGATATAAATTATTTATAACTTGTGAACCCACCTCTTACAGGTGTAATCTGTTCTAAGATGTGATATAAATCTGAACTGTATGCAGCAAATTGAAACATTTTATAACTAGTGAAGCCAACTGTTACAGGTATAATAATAATCCAATCTGTTACTCACTTCAGACTCTATGGAAAAAAAGAAAGAGTAGATAATCTTTTTAGAGTCATTGTTGTCCTCAGCTCATTTTTTATTCATTTATATTTAATTTACAAAAACATTTTCTAATGTTTTACTCCCTTTGTGTCAA